ACTTCAAATATTGCAGAGAAAAAGGCGAACGAATTATACAATTGCGAATTATACAATTGCAGTGAAATATAATTTTCTCTAGCTTTATACAACAGAAATGTATATATTGTGTTTCTGTTTTTGTATAAAGCGAGAAAAACATATATCTTCTTGCTATACACTTATAATTATGCAATATACATACATTTTAATTCGATTCAACTGTATGCAAAGCAAATTATACAATTGCAGCGAAATAGGCCAGCGAATTATACAATTTAGGCTAGCAAATTATACAATTTAGGCCGGCGAATTATACAATTGTATATGTATAGTGAATTATACAGTATTATGTTTGCTATGGAGCGCAATTATGCAAACTTTGCTATAGCATACAAATATGAATTTTTTGTTTGATATATATGAAAGTTGTCCAAATATGCTTATGCACACTGTTGACAATATACTTCAACTATGGTATTTATTTGTTAGAATTTCTATTACATTTAATTGATTTATAACTTTTAAGAGTGTTTGGTATGAAGGAAAACATTTTCTGGAAAATGTTTTTCAATTTTTTCATGTTTGGTTGAAACAAAAGTCTTGGAAAATGTTTTCCAAATCAACTCATTTTTCTCAAAATTAAGAAAAATGACTTTCCTTAAAAAATTAAGGAAAATATTTTCAAAAACTCTTCTTTAATTTCAAATTACATTTCTTTTGGGAAAAAACATCAATTTTAAAAAAATATTTTTAATTTTAAAATTTTATTTTTTCATCCGATTCCTAACCCCTCAACCACCCACGCACCACTGGCCAACCCCCCCCCCCTTTCCGAGAAGATTAATTTTGCTTTTTAAAAATATTTTCAACTTTAAATTTTTATTTTTAAACTCCTTCCCCCTCCTGCCAGCCCCTTACACAGGTTGTTCCATCATCTGAATTTATTTTCTCGATTTATGAAGCTGGAAGAATATACATTGTTTGTCTTGAGCGAAAAGTATGTTTATTGTGGTATATTTCAACTAGATGAGATACCTTGTGCACATGCAATCACTGTATTGAAAGAAAATAATTTCACAAATACGCATCCATATTGTTGTGATTACTATAAGCCTGATGCATTGGGATGTGTTGGTATCTTTTATCTTGTACTTGAGTGGCTGCAAGTTGAAAAAAAATACAAATTTTAACGATATTGAATATAAATACTAAATAAAACAACTAATACCTTATTGATACACGATATCAGTTTTCAAAGATTCATACTACATAAAAAAAACATCTGATACACATTTAATTCATGTATCATTGAATCGACTAAACACTATAACACACTATAACTACATGTATCAAACATACTATAACTTTCAAAACAACTTAAGGAAGAATAAAAAAGACATACTCTAAGCAATGTCGGTCTGGCAATAATGGTGCTGATACTTTTCTCTTTTTTGGGGGTATTTTTTGCAACCTTTGATTTAGAGGATTTCAAAATATCTTTATTTGGCTCCTTCCGAAAATTCAAATAATCATGCAAATACTTTTTTCTATTTTCTTTCCAATCTTCACCATTAGAATCATACATCCTTCGATTCGTAATAGGATCCATATATATGATGTGATATAACGATGAACAAGAAGAAAAAGAAGAACTAGAGGACAAGAAAGATGGAGTAAGAAGAAGAAGAAGAACCAGAGAACAGTGACTGTTCTAGATTTCAGAAAGTTCATTTTATTTTTTTTAATTTTGAAATTCTAAATTGCATATTAATGTTGATGAACCAGAAATACGTGTTTGATTGAGATATTGATAATTTGAAATTCAAAAAATATTCAGTTGATTGGATGTATTTGTGGAGAAAAATAGATATGATATTGGAGAAACGTGTGTCAAAGGAGAGAAAAGGTTATATCTCTCCAAATTCATGATTAAAATATAAAAAAAGAGATTTAGATAATTTTTTAAAAAGAAGAGAAAATTAGAGAATAATAAATTTATAATTATTTATTTAAGTTATTTTTCCTTTAAAAATTTGTCTTCTGTCTCCTTTTTATCTCTCGTCACCATTAATATCACTTCCATTTGCCCGTCATCACTATCACCACAAACCTGTCTACAAGAATCACAATTTGCATTTTCAAGTTCAATTGTATTTTTTCTATCGTTATCAGAATTAATGCCCGAATTATGAAAGTCTATACAAGTCAATTTAATAAAAAAAATTAACTATCAATATCTTCATGATACAAAACAATGATAAAATTAAATAATCACTAGCTATTTGACATCTAACGTAGTAAACCATTGAAACAAAGAGCCATGGACAAAAGACATACCTCTAGAGGATTTTGTAATAAAATATAGTTACAAACAATCATTTATAAAATGAATACGAATATATATGATATTTTATGAGCGTCTTAAAATATTTTAATTGTTGATACCTTATTTATAAATTGTTATTTACTTATATTTGACAAGATTAAAAGAATTGAAAAAATTGAATAGTTCTTCCCAATCTGTGAAATTTTCATACTTATGAGAAAAAAAGTTTGTGATTGTTGAGGTATATATATATATTGTAATTTCATATTAAAACTAATGTGATTGACTGATTCCTGTAAAATCTATGTATATAAATTTTTAACCATTCTTTTCCAATCAGGCTACATTAAAACTATATTTGGTATTAAATTTTGCATACGCTATTCCTTAATTTCATACAAGTAATTGCCAATTCTTTTATATTATTTAAAATAGTAAAATTAATCCGTTGCAAAATCAACAACTATATTTGGCATGATGCATGATAAAAGAAAGTTATATCATAATCCAGTCAACAAATCCAGTTTGATTTTGCTTCTAAATGGTATGGGAATCAAATCTTTGATCATAATCACACAATTCCATGATAAATACACTTTCCTCTAACTCTACTTTTCAATAGTAAATTAAAACACACACAACCATGGGAAAATATACTTTCTTCTTCCTTGTTTTTACCCTGTTTTTGTCAAATTTTGTTGCTTCAACCCTTGGTAAGAAGCAAAGTGATGTTCTTAGCAAGTTTTACAAGGCCAAGCAAAAGAATTCAGCGTTTTACAAGAGTTATTATAAGGCGTCAGGCGTAGAAAATGTAGAATTAGACAAAGTTATTCTTCCACAAGAGGGATTAAAAGCGAAAGATTGGATCAATAAATTGCCGGGACAGCCACCAGTAAAGTTTCAACAATATGGTGGTTATGTTACTGTCAATCAATCAGCTGGTCGTGCTCTGTTTTATTACTTTACTGAAGCTGAAAATTCCGAGGCATTGCCGTTGCTTCTTTGGCTTAATGGAGGTATACATATATATATACACATACATACAACATTTCTCTATATTTAATTGTTGTTATAATATATAGTTTTGAATAGAGGCGAACCCAGGATTTGAAGACTTTGGGTGCATCAATATAAACACAGTTCACTTAAAATAAAAACCCTTCGTCTAGAGGGTGGTATATCTAGCTCCTACCAATAGCACAAGGGCTATTATATATTGTTTATGGGTGTACTGTTAACTATATACTAACTTCTACCAGTTTTTCATAACAAATATGCATATATACATATGATTTTTTTCGAAAGTTAGTCACGTGCACCCCCTCCATATAGTATGGGTCGGCCCCTGGTTTTGATACAACATTTTTTTCTTTCTGCAGGTCCTGGTTGTTCTTCAATTGCATATGGTTCAATGGAGGAACTTGGACCATTTAGAGTTAATAGTGATGGGAAAACATTACACAGGAATCATTATGCGTGGAACCGTGGTAACTAAAATTCCCTTTTGTATAATTTTTCCATAGATGTTTAGAACTCAACTCTGAGTACAGAGTACTAATTAATTCTCCTATTGAATTAGCTGCCAATGTGTTGTTTTTGGAGTCACCTGCTGGAGTAGGATTTTCATATACAAATACAAGCAGTGATTTCAATACAACTGGAGATAGTACAACTGCTAATGATAATGTTGTGTTTTTACTCAATTGGCTTGAGAGATTTCCCGAGTATAAGAAGAGAGATTTTTACATTTCTGGTGAGAGTTACGCGGGGCATTATGTACCTCAATTGGCACATGAAATTCTTAAGCATAACAAGCAAGCGAACAAGACTCTTATCAATCTTAAGGGAATAATTGTAAGTGATTAGTTACAATTGTCAGTGTACATAAGTTAAATTGTACTAAAAAGTTCCATGTGACAAATTGCAGATTGGTAATGCTGTGATTAATGATGACACAGACACTATCGGAATGTACGAGTACTTTGCATCTCATGCCTTAATTTCGGATGAAACGTACCATGACATCCTGAATAGTTGTTATGATGATAACTACAATCAGAGCAAGTGCGAAAAGGCAGCTGAAGTTACAAACAAAAATTTGAACAATCTTGACATCTACAACATCTATTATCCCCTTTGTAAGGATGAGAATCTCACGAAATACCCAAAAACACCGACAGTAAGTGGGATAACTCTGCATTTTTGCTTACATTCTATCTCGTATAAGATAATGTAGAAACATTGAGTTTACGTTAATGAGTGATTTTTGATGCAGCCATTACAGATTGACCCCTGTTCCGACAAGTATATTTATGCTTACATGAACAGGCGCGATGTTCAAGATGCACTTCATGCCAACGTTACCAACCTCAAATATGAGTGGACATCTTGCAGGTTATTATCCCATATACAAATACTGAAATTCATACAAATGCTTTACTACTTGTTTGTGCTTCACTGCTTATAATTCTTTTCTATTTCAGCGATTCACTCTTTTATGATTGGAAGGACAGCCCGGTCACTATAATTCCTCTCCTCAAAGAGTCGTTGGCAAATGGTGTCCGCGTGTGGATTTTTAGGTAATCTTTTCCCTCATTATACTATTTTTTTATTTCTGATCATCTTTTACAAAATGTTTAACATATATTTGTACTTGGATATTAAATGCAGTGGTGATACAGATGGAAGGGTGCCTGTTACTTCTTCAAAGAGATCAATACAAGCAATGAACCTTACAGTTGATCTACCTTGGCGCTCTTTGTTGAATGGAGGAGAGGTAAGAAAAAAAAAACAAAATATGCTCGTGAAACGACTTTTGATTCAATATTTCTCAATGTTTATTGGATATATATGTTGCAGGTTGGAGGATACGTTGAGACATATAAAGGAGGTCTAGCATTTGCAACAGTAAGAGGCGCGGGACATGAAGTTCCAAGTTACCAACCTGCTAGAGCCCTTTCCATCATTTCTCATTTCCTGTCTGGCACATTACCCCCTGGAGATCATTAACCTATCTAGCACATCCTCTTTTTGTGTAATTAAGAATCATTTTTACAAACTTTCTTAGATAAAAATTAATTAATATAAACGCGATTCTCTGTTCTTCTCTTTTGAAACCTGTTTGTCTGTGAATCAAACATGTTAAGGTAAACTGCCCAGTTATGATTATTGTCAAGCTAAACATTGCCAAGACTATATCAAATGTTTAGCGTAAGTGCAACTAGCATCTTCAGAGAATTTTCAAGTAATTCGTTCTTTGTATTTCTATAGCTAGGTGATACGAAATGATTATGTTTCAATTGACAATGGATGACAAAAGGCATACAAGCTAAAAAAAAGTTCTATTCTGGTGTCACAAATGCAAAATAATTCATCTTAATAAGAAAATGTTTAACCTCTTGTAAGGAAATATCATTGAAATATTCATTCATTCATATTATTACTTTATTAGAACACTTTTTGAATTTGATTGACATACCATTATTATATAGTGCCAATTTCTGATATTTATAATAGTAAAATTATTAAATTCAAGAAATCTATTCCACAATTTCATGATAAATACCATTCATCTCAATCAACTTTTCAACACAACACACACACAACTATGGGAAAATTCACTTCCTTCTTCCTTCTTTTTGCCCTCTTTTTCTCCAACTTTATTGCTTCAAGCCTTGGAAAGAAGCAAAGTGAAGTTCTTGGAAAATATTACAAGGCCAAGCAGGATTCAGCTTTTGGCAACGATTACTATAAGGCGGCAGCCGTTGAAAATGTAGAATTGGACAAAGTTATTCTTCCACAGGAGGGATTAAAAGATAAAGATTGGATCAAGAAACTGCCTGGACAACCACCAGTAAAGTTCCAACAATATGGTGGCTATGTTACTGTCGATGGATCTGCTGGCCGTGCTTTATACTATTACTTCACTGAAGCTGAGAATTCCAAGTCTTTGCCTTTGCTTCTCTGGCTTAATGGAGGTATATACAAACAGCAATTGTCTATATCTTTTTAGCATCCTGTTTGGAAAGTTATTTTCTTGTCTTGGATCAAAAAAACAAAAAAGGGAAAGGACTCTACATTACTCCACCTGAATATTTCTAAAATTTTATGGTTTTTACATCTTCGTATTAACACATAAAGATCAGAAAAAAAGATTTTCTTCTAGATCTATATAGTTCTGATACCGATCTTCATTTTAACACATAAGAGATCTGAAAAATATACAGAAACATTTCGAAAGTTGGTTCTGATTATGAAACCATACTAAAAATGACGTGTATCCTTTCTTCAGGCCCTGGATGTTCTTCTATTGCATATGGTGCAATGGAGGAGCTTGGTCCATTCAGAGTTAACAGTGATGGAAAAACATTACATAGGAATCATTATGCGTGGAATCTTGGTAAAAAAAAAGTTTCTCTTTTTTGTGTAACATGATTTCCTATTAATGTTTGAATGAAACAATTCTCAACTCGGAGTAATAATTTTCTTCTGTTGAATATAGTTGCCAATGTGTTGTTTTTGGAGTCTCCTGCTGGAGTAGGATTTTCATATACAAATACAAGCAGTGACTTCAATACAACTGGAGATAGTAGAACTGCTAATGATAATGTTGTGTTTTTACTCAATTGGCTCGAGAGATTTCCCGAGTATAAGAAGAGAGATTTTTACATTTCTGGTGAGAGTTACGCGGGGCATTATGTACCTCAATTGGCACATGAAATTCTTAAGCATAACAAGCAAGCGAACAAGACTCTTATCAATCTTAAAGGAATTATTGTAAGTGATATCTCTTATTTAACCCGTCTTTTACAACATATTAACTTACACTGAAAAAATTAAATTGTCGTAACTATAAATTGCAGATTGGGAATGCAGTGATCAATGATGACACAGACATCATAGGAACGTATGAATACTATGCATCTCATGCGCTGATTTCAGATGAAACGTTCCTCAACATCAAGAAATATTGTTTTGACAATCACTACAATAAGAGCAACTGCAATGAGGCAGTTGCAGTTTCAAACAATAATTTGTATGATATCGATATTTACAACATTTATTTCCCCCTTTGCAAGGATGGAAATCTTACGAAATACCCAAGAGTACCATCAGTAAGTGGGACAACTCTGCATTTGACCTTATTATTACCAATATCCACATTCTATCCCGTATAAAATAAAACATAGATTTGAGTTAATGAGCTATTTTGATGCAGCAGCCATTAGTGTTTGAGCCCTGCTCGGACCAGTACGTATATGCTTATCTGAACAGGCGGGATGTTCAAGATGCACTTCATGCCAATGTTACCAACATCAAATATGATTGGGAATCTTGCAGGTTATTTTATATACCATCAGCAAATACAAACAGTTAAATGCATACAAATCCTCAACATTTTTTTTCAATGCTCATAATTCTTTTTCAATTTCAGCGATCCACTCTTTTACAACTGGAAAGACAGTCCAGCAACTATAATTCCTCTCCTCACAGAGTCATTGGAAAATGGTGTTCGAGTTTGGATTTTCAGGTAATTTTATTCCTTTTTTTTTCTTCATTTTGATCATATTATAGGTCTTGACCACAAAATATTTGATACTTGGGAAATTATGTACAGTGGTGATACAGATGGATCAGTTCCTGTAACATCTACGAAGAAATCCATTAAAGCAATGAACCTTATAGTTGATCAACCATGGCGCTCTTGGTTATCTGGAGGAGAGGTAAAATCGTAAAAATACAAACATTGATCATCAAACAAAACTATTGCTTCTCACCATAAAACTTGATTCTATATTTCTCAATGAAATGAATTATGTTGCAGATTGGAGGATATGTTGAGACATATAAAGGAGGTCTAACATTTGCAACTGTAAGAGGCGCGGGACATGAAGTTCCAAGTTACCAACCTGCTAGAGCCCTTTCCCTTATTTCTCACTTCCTTTCGGGCACACTACTCCCTGGAAATCGCTAATCTAGCACATCCTTTATATATATGTAATGAAAAATCATTTTATGAGAGCTTTCTTGTGCTCCTCCCTTCTCCTCGTCCTTCCATGTTTCCCTAGAAATTGTGAAAAAATTGTTCCATGATTAATAGTAAAAATACGACAACACTCGTAGCAATCTCATACATCATCAAGGTGATTGGCCGGAATTTGTTCCAAATTTATCATTCAATTTGTTCTAAACTCCTAGTCATGGCTAGCCCATCCATCAGAAACTCGTGATGATCTATCACAATTTGTCTGTAACAAACCCAATAACTAAACCAACACATAACAAACTCATAATAACCTATAGATATATTTTACTAATTCGTAATTGGAATTACAAAGAAATTAAGAACTAAAAGGGAAATTGAATAACACAAGAAGAAGAAAAGGATGAGAAGCAGAACTCACAGAAAAGAGATGAGAGGACTAGGCATTTTTCTCAGTATTTGCAATAAATTACATATCACTATGCTTTTTGATGGAATCATTTCATTCCCGTTACTCAACCGTGATCCCAAAATAACCTAGCCCTATTGATCTTTCTCTGCCCAATAACAATTTGTGTGACCTTGCTATATATTCACATTAGACTGAACTTTGTTCATAACAATGCAGTTGCTTTACATACAAATATACTATCAAACTCAGATTCAAATTATCACTCAATATATTCATCGATTCTTGCTTTGTGAGGGATTGAATTCCTATAGGCATGTCTAAGTTATTTGTAATTATTTAACGAGAGATGACTAAAATTGCCTTTTCCATATTAAGCTTCATTGATTTATTTTACCAATTTCAAAGTCATCATAATTAACTTAAAAAAAACTCAAAGCGAAGTGAATGGATATTGGAGGAATTTCTAATATCAATGAGATATTCAATATTACTATTACTATTTTGTTAGAATAAGCGCCTGACTCTGTTACCTATTAAACTAATACTTATCTTAATCAACTTTTCATAATAAAAATAGTAAAATTATTAAGTTCAAGAAATTACAATTATATTTGCCATAATGCATAATAAGATCAAAGTAATATTGTATTCCCACTATCATAACCAAATTGATTTTGCTTCCAAAATGGTATTGCAATCAAATGAAATCTCATAATCACACAATTTCTTGATCAATACTTTCGGTAATGAAATACTCACAATTAATTTGTTATAATTTCCTATGTTTACTAATAACCGTAACAAAATAACAATTTGAAAATGATATAAATTAATTTAAATTAAGATATGAAGTCCATCTCTTCTCAACCGAAGAACAAAATAAGATTATTTCAATTTCATTTTCATTTTAGAATAATATGTAACAAACAAAAAAAAAGAAAGACAATCATATATTATTGTAAGTGGGAAGATTTTAAATTCAAAGTTAGATTACAAAAATGCCCTTCACCAATTTTTTAAATTAATTTTTTTTACTAATTTTTAAAATTAAATCAATAATAATAATTAAACTAGACCAAATACATGATTAGATGTTACAACTTATCATTTTTCATTTCTTAATGAATTTGATTGTTAAAACTTTTTAGCTTCTACCATTAAACACATTCATGCACAAACCTTTCATGTACTTAATTTCTCCCCCTTTATAAATTGGATAAAACATATTAATCCATCACATTTTTTGTGTTTCATCATCTAATAGCTCTTATATGAGGAGTAATTTTTCATTGGTCACTATTTTGCTTATTGATTTATGTTTTCGTTCATTTTTTATTTTCATGGTTGTTGAAGAAACACATAATCTAATAATTCTTCTATTTTTTTTATTGGTCACTATTTTTCTTGTAGGTTTGTGCCATTCATTTTTTTTTAATGATTGTTGAAGTATTTATGTCCTAAGAAACTTCAGTTTTGGAGCTTAGTTCTAGCCTTACAAGTTGCTCATCATTTCCCAAAAAAATTGTTGACATTTATGTTCTAGGCAGAAAGTAAACACTAAAAAAAGTTTATTTTATATACACAAAAACACATATAGAAGTACATTAGACAATATTGAACAATTTTATATCTTGCGCCTATATAAATTATAACAATAACTTGGACCTATATAAATTATAACAGTAAAAGAGATCAAATGTACAAAGCACATTTCCAAAACTAGTATAAAAAAAGAAATGCACCACACTATTCAGCACATATACAATATTGACCTTAAAAAAACTATTTTGACCTTCATTTGTTATATTTTTATCGTTTCCGTTTATTTAATTGTTAACCAATTCATAACACTTTTCAATCCAATGAACAAATTAAAATCATTATTTCTTAACAATTATTGATTAAGAAATTAAAATTATTTATTTAATATTAATAATTTGATAATTTTACCAAAAAAAGTGTGATGCTTCAAGAGTTGTGTACTTATATTTTTTAGTATGGCAAATGAACAAGAAAAAGTTTAATCTAACATTGGAAAGGATTTTCATATTTTTAATATAAGTATTGATTATATATAATAAGAAGAATTATTTCAAGTTATAAAACATTAGTTTATGTGTTTTCAATACATTATCCGGATCTTAATGTAAAAACTATATTTATTAATTTGATGATTTTAGTAGTTTCAATTAAAGTTCTAAAATATTTTTAATAAAAAAATAAGTAAGTTTATATTTCTTTCTTTTAGTTAAATTTTATATTTCTTAATAATCTTAATATTGTCAGAAAGAAATTCATCATTGCAATTTTTTGAGACTCTTTAAAAATCTAAATTATATATAACTATACCATTTACGGAACTTCTTCACATACACCCTTAAAATGTAGGATTTTGGAATTAAGAATTATTTTAAGACTTTCTTAGACAAATTAAAGTTTAATACAACATAATGTGATCACTTGATCTATCTTTTGAAATATCTAAGTTCTGAATATTGTCACGTTTAATATATCCAAGATGATGTCAAATGTTTCGCAATATCAGCGCAACTAGCATGGTCAGTATTGAATTATAAACAGAATTACTGAAAAATGAACAACAAATGATACACTTTACTAATATAATGAGAAGATGGTATAATAAAACGAGTAATCATTACTTTTTGAAGGTTGAAGCAAAATCTCAATGGTTAGGATTCAAATTAGAATGCTGAATATTTATTAAACTTGGACTTCATTTTAATCAATTTTGAAGCAAAAACATGTTAGTAGAACTTTTTAGAAGTTTTTGGCTGTTATCTGCTAGGAATGGTGAATAAATTGTTTCTAACTGACAACACAATTTGTAGTAAGGTCCTAAAGATCGGACAAATCTCGTGGAGAAAAGCTCACTAACTCAACTCTAACTGCCATGAAGCAACCCTTTCATCCCAAGGAATTCAACTCTAACTTTTGGTTTAAAAGTTAATTTTGTTCAACTTATTTTCACGAGATTAAAGTTATTTTTATTTTTTTATAAAATGAAGGGATAGCAACTTGAAATAATCTTATTTTTATAAACCATCCTTATATTTCAAACTTTAAAAGGGGACTAGTGCACAATTGATCAATTTTGAAATATGAGTTTAACCACTCGAAATCAATTTTATGCTTATGCAATTCAAGTTGTAAAAATTTGTATCCAAACTTTCAATTCTTAAAATTTGATGTGAATTACATAAAGCTTCAAATATATATGTTCAAAACTATAAATAACATCCTTAAAATTTAAACTAAGAATTTAAATTTTAACTATATTTTCAATCTCTCGATTTAAAATTTATGAGACTTGGAAAACTAAAGTTTTAAAGGGTGGCTACGTCATGAATAGGCTAGGGGACTTGGAAAATAAATGAAAATACAAAAGCCTCACCTCTTCCGTCTTTGCCCACACAACCGGCGGACATACGAAAATGGACCCCAGGGCAACGGCGCCAAAAATCCGGCAGCCGTCCACGACGGCTACGGCAACCGTGAAGAACAAAAAGAAGAAGACAGCAGCAGAAGCTCTCGGCCACGACGTTCTCTGCATCATCTTCTCCTTTCTCGACTTAGTCCAGCTCATTCGCTGCTCCGCCGTTTCTACTTCTTGGTACGACGTCAAATTTGTAACAGTTGCATTTAATTTGTTCTGCTATTTGCTTAACCCAATTACTTTTCCATATTAAGCTTCATTGATTTATTTTACCAATTTCAAGTCATCATAATTAACTTAAAAAAAACTCAAAGCGAAGTGAATGGATATTGGAGGAACTTCTAATATCAATGAGATATTCAATATTACTATTACTATTTTGTTAGAATAAGCGTCTAACAAATTCAAATTCTGTTACCTATTAAACTAATATTTATCTTAATCAACTTTTCATAATTAAAATAGTAAAATTATCAAGTTCAAGAAATTACAATTATATTTGCCATAATGCATAATTAGATCAAAGTGATATTGTATTCCCACTATCATATCCAAATTGATTTTGCTTCCAAAATGGTAATGCAATCAAATGAAATCTCATAATCACACAATTTTCTTGATGAATACTTTCGGTAATGAAATACTCACAATTAATTTGGGATAATTTCCTGTGTTTATTAATAACCGTAACAAAATAACAATTTAAAATGATATAAATAAATCTAAACGAAGATATGAAGTCCATCTCTTTTCAACCGAGGAACAAAATAAAATTATTTCATTTTCATTTTAGAAAAATTTGTAACAAACGAAAAAAAAGATAGACAATATAAGAAAAGAAACGACACTATTCATCATCACCTTAATTAATGCGTTTATTAATACATATACAACATTGACCTTAAAGAAACTATTTTGACCTTCATTTGTTATATTTTTATCATTTCCATTTATTTCATAGTTAACCAATTCATAACACATTCATCTCATTCAACTTATATTTCTTAATAATCTTAATATTGTCAGGAAGAAATTCATCATTGTGATTTTTCGGGTCTCTTTGAAAATCTAAATTATATATAAGTATACCATTTATGAAACTCCTTCACATAGACCCTTAAAATGTAGGATTTTGGAATATATAATAATTTTTGATAGGGTAATATATTATGATATTCTAAAACTTAATATTTATTATAAAATATTTTTGACTATCAAGTGAAAGTTAAAAAATAAATATTAAAAGTTTTATTCCTATTTTTATAGTTCATAACTCATACCGAATAGATTTTCGCTCGATTGTCAATGGAGATAGGACTTAAAAGAATTCAATTATTTCAAACTATCAAAGAAGTTTTATCAACATAAATACTTAATATGTTACACTAAAAAGAGTATAATAATCATCCGATAAATTAATAAGAAATTATTAAACCATTTGTACTTCCTATAGTTATAAGGAGTACTAGTTAGCAAATCCACATATTATTATTGAGATTTCATTTTTATGACTAATTTATTAGAATTAATTTTGAACTATAATTACCATTTATCTTATTGACATACTATAATTAAATTATAAAATCGGGAAAAGGATCCCCTCGAATATATTTTTCTCAAGTTCCCTACTATAGTTGTTTAAAATGGTACCACCTCAGGTGGAAAAAAAATTATTAATTCAATTCATTTATATTGAAAAATGTAAAGGCTAAACACATAATGGGGAGTGTCAATTTGTCTTCTTTTTTTTTGATACATGAACGAAGATATTAGAAAACAAAGAGTCATGGACTAAAGACATAAATCTAGAGGTTTTTGTAATAAAATAATAATTACCAAATATTTATTTGATTCATGGGAAAAAAGTCTGATATATCCCTCAATTTTGTCATTTAGAACTGATATACCCCTTGTTATGAAAGTGGCTCATATATACCCTACTTGTAAACAAATGACTCACATATACCCTTTTCCTCTAACGAAAATGGAAAAAATAATAATTTTAATCCAAAATTTTTATTATTTTTTTCTAAAAAATATAATCGAGTAAATTTAATCCTCGTCAAACATATTTTTTTGACCTTTTTTTGTTTCATGACTAATTTATAATTATTATTTTGATAATCATATTTATTCATGTTTCATTAATATTCTTGTAAAACTTATTGTAGATGACCAAATTTTTTCTTCGAATACGAAATTAAATTACAATACACACAAAAAAAAGTTTAAATTTGTTTTCTTTAAACTAAGGAATGAAAGCAAAAACATAAGAATAAGAAACTCAAATAATTATAATAAAAAAAGTAAAAAAATAATTTATATATGAAAAAAATTAAAATATACCTTGAACTTTGATAGAATAATCATATATACCCCTAAATAATTTTTTTAAAAAAATTACAAGTAATAAATATAAATTTAAAGCTAATTTTTTAACTCTCGTTAAATGAAGGGTATATATGAGCCATTTTGTAACGGGAGAGGTATATGTGAGCCGTTTGTATAACGGTAAGGGCATATATGAGCCACTTTTGTAACGGGGTATATTAGCTCCAAATTACAAAGTTAAGGGATATATCAAACTCTTTTCCGTTGATTCATTAATACAATTCTAGATTTTAGATTATTTTTTTTTGCAAATTAGGAGATCTCATAAAAAAATATAACTCAAACTCATGCTGAGACTAAAGTTGAATGACTAAACTCCTATCAAAATATACTGATTGTCATACGTTTGTGAGTGCTGATGCTCCATCATGTTACATTAAAAATATATTTGGTATAAAATTAACTATTCCTTAATTTCATATATACAAGTAATTACAAATATTCTATATTTAAAATAATAAAAATTATTAAGTAGAAGAATTCAACAACTATATTTGGCATGATGCATAATTAATGTAAGTTATATCATAATATCACGCTACAATTCGATTTCTCTCCTAAAATGGTATGAGAATCAAATCTTGATCATAATGACACAATTACATAAATACCACTTTTCTAACTCTGTTTTTCAATATTCACAATATAGAACCATGGGAAAATTTACTTTCTTCTTCCTTGTTTTTACCCTGTTTTTGTCAAATTTTGTTGCTTCAAGCCTTGGAAAGAAGCAAGGTGATGTTCTTAGCAAGTTTTACAAGGCCAAACAAAAGAATTCCGCCTTTCGCAAGAGTTATTTAAACGATGAAAATGTAGAATTAGACAAAGTTATTCTTCCACAAGAGGGATCAAAAGCGAAAGATTGGATCAATAAATTACCTGGACAACCACCAGTAAAGTTTCAACAATATGGTGGTTATGTTACTGTCAATCAATCAGCTGGTCGTGCTCTGTATTATTACTTCACTGAAGCTGAGAATTCCGAGGCATTGCCGTTGCTTCTTTGGCTTAATGGAGGTATATATATATATATACATACATACAACATTTCTCTATATTTAATTGTTGTTATAATATGTAGTTTTGATTTAACATATTTTTTTTTCTACAGGTCCTGGTTGTTCTTCTATGGCATATGGGGCAATGGAGGAACTTGGACCATTTAGAGTTAACAGTGATGGAAAAACATTACACAGGAATAGTTATGCGTGGAACCGTGGTAATTAAACAAAATAATTCCCTTTTATACGAATTTCAGTTAATATTTGGTAATTATTATTCTCAAAATGTGAGTATTAATTAGTTCTTTTATTGAATTAGCTGCCAATGTGTTGTTTTTGGAGTCACCTGCTGGAGTAGGATTTTCATATACAAATACAAGCAGCGATTTCAATACAACCGGAGATAGTACAACTGCTAATGATAATGTTGTGTTTTTACTCAATTGGCTTGAGAGATTTCCCGAGTACAAGAAGAGAGATTTTTACATTTCTGGTGAGAGTTACGCGGGGCATTATGTACCTCAATTGGCACATGAAATTCTTAAACATAACAAGCAAGCGAACAGGACTCTTATCAATCTTAAAGGAATTATTGTAAGTGATATCTCTAATTTAATCCGTCTTTTACAACATGTTAACTTACACTGACAAAATCAAATTGTTGCAACTATAAATTGCAGATTGGGAATGCAGTGATCAATGATGATACAGACATTATAGGAATGTATGAATACTTTGCATCTCATGCACTGATTTCAGATGAAACTTATCATGACATCCAGAACAGTTGTTTCGTTGAAAACTACAACGAGAGCAAGTGCAATAGTGCTATTGCAATTTCAGACAACAATATCAACTATCTTGACATCTACAACATTTATTTTCCTCTTTGTAAGAATGGAAATCTCACGAAACACCCAAAAATACCGCCAGTAAGTGTGAAAAATATGCATATTCTATCATGTACAGTAAAAAGCAATGCACTAACATTGACATTGATATATGGTTTATTTTTTATGCAGCCATTGCAGATTGATCCCTGCTCGGCCGATTACATCTATGCTTACCTGAACAGGCGGGATGTTCAAGATGCACTTCATGCCAATGTTACGAACATCAAATATGAATGGGAGTCTTGCAGGTTATTAGCAGTCAAACACAAAAATACAAACATGTTCATTTTCCAATATTCATTAGGCTTCAATGCTCTTAATTTTATTCTATTACAGCAATACACTCTTTTATAATTGGAAAGACAGCTCGGTGACTATCGTTCCTCTTCTCATAGAATCTTTGGAAAATGGTGTTCGAGTGTGGATTTTTAGGTAATTTTGTTCCTTATTACAGTAGTGCTCTGATCATCTTATCACAAATGTGTTACTAACAAAAATTTGTACTTGCAGTGGTGATACAGATGGAAGGGTGCCTGTAACTTCTTCAAAGAGATCTATACAAGCAATGAACCTTACAGTAGATCAACCGTGGCGTTCTTGGTTAAATGGAGGAGAGGTACAATTGCTCGTCAAACAACTAACTATTGCTTACCATAAAACTTGATTCAATGTTTTAACTTAATGAAATTAATAATTATATGTTGCAGGTTGGAGGATACGTTGAAACATATAAAGGAGGTCTAACATTTGCAACAGTAAGAGGCGCGGGACATGAAGTTCCAAGTTACCAACCTGCTAGAGCCCTCTCCCTTATTTCTCACTTCCTTTCTGGCACATTACCCCCTGGAGATCATTAATCTATCTAGCACATCCTTTAATTGTGTAATTAAGAATTATTTTAAGACTTAGACAAATTAAAGTTTAATACAACATAATGTGATCACTTGATCTATCTTTTGAAATATCCAAAGTCTGAATATTGTCACGTTTAATATATCCAAGATGATGTCAAATGTTTCGCAATATCAGCGCAACTAGCACGGTCAGTATTGAATTATAAACTGAATTACTGAAAAATGCTCGACTAATCTAATGAGAAGATGGGATAATAAAATGAGTCTAATCATTACTTTTTGAAGGCTGAAGCAAAATCACAATGGTTAGGATTCAAATTAGTATGCTGATATCAAACTTGGACTTCATTTTAATCAATTTTGAAGAGAAAACATGTTAGTACAACTTTTTAGAAGTTTTTGGCTATGATCTGCTAGGAATGGTGAACAAATTGTTTCTAACTGACAACACAATTTGTAGTAAGGTTCTAAAGATCCGACAAATCTTGTGGACAAAAACTCACTCACTCAACTCTAACGGGCATTAAGCAACCCTTTCGACAATCGGCATGGAATTCAACTCTAACTTTTGGTCTAAAAATTAATTTTGTTTGACATATTTACACGAGATTAAAATTATTTTTATTTTTTTTTGATAAAGTGAAGGGATAGCAACTTTGAAATATTTTTATTTATATAAACCACACTTATATTTCTACTTTAAAAGGGAACAAGTGCACAATTAATCAATTTCAAAATATGAGTTTAACCACTCCAAAATCAATTTTATACTTATGCAATTCTAGTTGTAAAAATTTGTGTACAAACTTTCAATTCTTAAAATTTGATATGAATTACATAAAGCTTCAAATATATATGTTCAAAACTAAAAATAACATCCTTAAAATTTAAATTAAGAATTTGATTTTTAAAAGGGAAATTTAGATAAATATATTATAATAAAAAAATATTTACCATTTATAGCAATAATATTTCTTTTTCACTTAATTACCTTTAAGTCATTTATAATACAAGTTTAATTCATATTACAAAGAATAATTTTTTATTCACATATAATACAAATTTTAATGATAGATAATTCATTAATCACACATTTTAATACAATTATAATACAATGTGTCAAATTTTTATCAAACAAAAATAATATATTTTTAAAAACAATTATAATTTATATATAATTTCATATATATTGCATACATAATTCACTTTTAATATATATTACAAATTTAAAATAATATTACTATAAATGATAATAAATAAAAAATATAATTAAAATCAGTAATTATTTATTAAAATGTACTAATCCATATGATTTTTTCTATTTTGGATCTCTCGATTTAAAATTTATGAGACTTCGAATATAGAAGTTTTAAAGGGTGGCTACGTCATAAATAGGCTAGGGATGAAATTACTTGGAAAATAAATGAAAATACAAAAGCCTCACCGCTTCCGTCTCTGCCCACACAACCGGCGGATATAACGAAAATGGACCCCAGGGCAGCGGCGCCAAAAATCCGGCAGCCGTCCACGACGGCTACGGCAACCGTGAAGAACAAAAAGAAGAAGACAACAGCAGAAGCTCTCGGCCACGACGTTCTCTGCATCATCTTCTCCTTTCTCGACTTAGTCCAGCTCATTCGCTGCTCCGCCGTTTCTACTTCTTGGTACGGCGTCAAATTTGTAACAGTTGCATTTAATTTGTTCTGCTATTTGCTTAACCCAATTACTGACTGACTTGCTTATTTTACCCTTGCTTTGTCCTGTGAAGGAGTAAAGCTGTCAACAAATTGAAGTTGCATCAAACAGAATACTTCAAGCAGCAGCATAGTGGTCCTAATGGCCTCATTGACGCACCTTTCTCTCAGAGATCATTGAGTGAACAAGCGGAGCAGCTAGCTATGGAACAACACAAATTGGCATTACAAAGGGGCCCTGCTAATGTTATTCAGTGGAAAGGTCATTCAGTAGGGTAAGCATTAAGATGTCCATTTTGATTAGTTTTTCTTTTTCATTGCAAACTTAAATAATGCTGATTCGTGATTTATACTATGATCAACTATTTGGATATCTCATGGATTTATTGCTTATTAGGGATATTTTGGAGTTACATATCAGACTGGAACAGTTACCCACCTTATTAAAAAAAATTTACTCGAACTATCATGTACCTTTTTAAAAAGAAAAAGATTCAGACTGCAATGCTCCTCACTTGGTACAAAGACATAGCTAGAAGTTTTGACCTGTAAGCTTTAGGTTGAGAGCTAAAATGAAGAACATCTAACCTTCGGGGTGGCCCAGTGGTTTGAGCTTGGGACTTCCATGTTGGAGGTCTCAAGTTCGAAGCCCCTTGCCAGCGAAAGCAAGGGGTTTGCCTTCTGGATCGAGCTCGTCTCACCAGGCTTGCCTAGTGCGGGTTACCTCTCCTATGTGGTTTGCAAACTATTGCAGAGGAGCGGGGGTTTTACCCTGTGCACGCCCAAAGGGTAGCGGGTGCGGGTTTCCCTTGTCATAAAAAAAAATTAAAATGAAAAACATCTTAGGAAACTTCAGCTTGAGGATAATGTGTTTCTCTTCCCCTAGTCTTTATAAGCAGCTTCTTTAGCTTTACATATAAACATAAAGATTCTTTAACGTGAAAATCTTGCACTAAAAATCTACCTCCATAGTTTTGCTTTTGTTATCATGGAATCAATTTGTTTATCATTCTTTAGAATCAGTATCATATGACATAGCATTTGGCTTCTAATATTTGTTAGTGACTTAGAAGTCGATCTCAGTCCCTGTAAATCTCATCACATACATTACATCCTCCCCGTCTTGGCTGAGTCCACTGTCCTGACTCCCATTGCCATATTAGATTGACTTCCTAGATATAAGCCGAATCTTCAAATAGAAGAAGATGTTTCCTTCTAATCACCCTAACAGAGATTTTTTTAATATAATCAGTTCAACCCTTCTAGTGCACTAACCTATTTTCTTCCAATATTAAAGTGATATTCGTATGTCAAATATATGGGATGAACTTGCCCCTAATATACAAGATAAAATTATTGAAGGATATGGAAAGATGAGGGAAAACTCATAAGAGTCTGCAGCTAGTTCCTTTTCTCTCTCCTTTTTTTTTTCTTGGGGTCTAATCATTCTCCATCACACTTCCCAGAAATACCAAATGAACTTCAATTTCCTCCTGATCCACATAAGGTTCGCAAAGATTTTGAAAATTCCACCATAATAATAACTGTTTCTAACTTGGCATTAAACCTACATATTGTGCATTTTATATGGTTTTTTCTCTAACTTCAATTTCTACTAGGGTAAATCAGTGCAGAATGAAGATGGGAAAAGTCCTTACCGGTGTGGGTGACAAGGTAGGGTCGCTTTTTACTATTAAGAATGATAAGAGTTAAAATTTCTTACTGGTTTCTTTCCTTTAGCTGGAAAGAGCAAAATCTTATTATATTACCTACTAGGAAAATCATGTACGTTATCCGCAATAAGTTCTATGAGATAAGTTTTGAACCTTTCTCAATGATTAGAACTTGTTTACGTTGGAAGCATAATGACGATGCCATGCTTCTGGTTGGATTAACCCAAATGCTTAATTATGATAAGTTCTGCACTCATACTTTATACATGAAATGTATTGTAATAATACATGTGAAAGTATGATTTCATTAGACCGTCTCTCTTCATTTCATCAAATCCTCATCCTAATATGCCTCCATGATTTCTCCTTTTCCAAGATACTTAAATTCTGCAGTTGAAATTAATTTGAATTTCTGACAAAAGAAACCTGTATCATGCATAATGCTTGTTTTATCAGCATTTGTTAGATTCCCCATATTTGTTATGTTTGGTTGGCAGAGTCCCGTAGATTTTCTTTGGGCTTTTGTTGTCTATCAATCATCATGGCAAGAAGGCTTTATGATAAAGCCAGTGCACATTGTGTGGGCTGAGCAGCCTGGGAGCTCCACTGGTGCTAGGTGGAAAGACATTCTTGTTCCTAATAAGTGAAGAAGGTTGTTGTCTGTTGGTTTTGTAGAATAATACAGTTATACATCCTTGATCATCTTCCCTATTTAATTTCTCTGAAATATGGTGTAGGTATTTCTCTTTCTTGAGTTTATTATGAATTTGATATCTTTGACAAGTGTCATAGTTTCTCTGAAGTACTACCACATCAGTTGCTGTCGTGTATCATGTTATTCATTACTTGTATATTTTTCCCCCGGATAATATTGCTATTCATGAATCATGACTAGTCTTCTGCTATTGGCCATATGTCTCTGCATGCCTTGTTTACAGAAAAAAGGACACAGTTTTAAAGTTACATTTTGCACTCTTTATGATCCAGGTCATGCGTCTCTGGTCGGCAGAAAGCTGCAAATGTTTGGATGAATATTTCCTTGTCGATAAAGCCCCTTTAATTGATTTTGATTTTGACGAGGGCAAGGTGAGTTAAATGCTTCACATCTTATTGTATCTTGTATGGTAAGATTAGTTATATTAATAACACTTTGATCATGTATTACTAAATTTATATTTCTTATTTAATTTATTGTAAGTTGTGCACTTCTTCACTTCAAAGAACTGCTCGCTTCACTACATGCTTTTTATTTCAAACCCTATGGATCTCGCCACTTTTTTTCCTAAGCTTTAAGTTTTTAAAAATACTCACGATAAGAGGATGAGGAGTGAAGGAGTAGAACAGGATGTCCTCATTAGACAACAACATGAGATGTAAGACTAAGAAGTACGAGCTAATCCTGTGAGGTCAATTAACACTATCACTGAAAACAATTATTTTACCACTGCAATGCCGAGGAAAGGAGGAACTATTATTTTCAAACTAAAAAATTGTATGCATTTGGTTTGGTATCCTCTAGCAGTTTTTCAAACTAAAAGTGTTTGCAGAGAATGAAGACTGTCTCCCTCTATAAGTTGTAACACTTTTGAAGGGGAGCTACACTTTTGTTGTAGTGTACATGTGGATGTATAGACTAAAATTACCAGTTTCAAACAAAAAAATACAACAATGACAGGATGAAGTAATTTTTTTGGATTCATTAATCAGGTCTAACATACACTTTGTGAATGATATTGGAAATGTTATTGTACAGGTTGTTGGTTTGGTTGGCACCCGTATATGCATCTGGAATCGTACAGAGGAAAGAAACATATTTTCCTCACGTGAGAACTTATTTACTAAGGCCCTCTGTATGCGGTGTGTAACCTCTTTGTTGTTCATCCTTTTTTCTTTTCTAAAATTTCCATCAGCAATGTGGGAAAAGCAATTTCAATGTCGTAGTCATGTTCTTTAATCATTGACTTACAGTATCTTAACTGTTCTAGTTTTGGTTAAGATCTCTGTGTCGTCCATATAAAGAAGTATCAAACCTATCTTAAATGAAGAAAGTAGTTTTAACTTTTTTTGGGACTTCATGCGATTAAATGGTGCTAAAGGGACACCCTCTCAGACCCCCTTGATATTGAGATAAAGCTTGTGAGAAGATAAGTATGCATGTATAAAGTTTTGAATTACTTGATGGTCTCTGTTCTGTTATCTGTCATAGCTCCATATTTGAAAATCTGTGCTGCTTATGTGGTCTATCTTAGAGCTTATGATGCTTCTCTTGTGATTTGCTGATAGTAATTTCGTTGCTTCTTTCCAGTTATGTAGACCCCGAAGCTGTGATCGGATGTGAGGATGGAAAGGTTCGTGTATTTGACCTATACAGCAGAAAGTGTACCCAAATAATAAAGTATGATTCTGTTTCATTACTTACTTTGCATGCTTTGTGCAACTAGTTGAGAAAAAGGTTGAAATGATTTTCTCCTGGATCATTACCTCTCTTGCACAATCATGCACATAGACGATAAGCTGTTTTTAATCATTGCGTCTTTTGCCACGTGCACATAGACAATAAGCTGTTTTGTAACGATAATCTAAATCATAATCGCTTTAATATCTAACACGGAATTAATGCTTCTCTCTGGTAATCCCTCAGCCAGCACATACAACCCCCCCCCCCAAACCTCTTTTTCAGCTCTAAGGCTATTAATGGCAAGTGCCAACAAATTGCGATTTCTTCTTTTCTCCCTAACAGAGATGCAGAATTGGTGCCTTCTCCTCCCTCCTGTCCAACCATATCTTTTGCAGTGTTTTGATCTTTCCCTTCTTTTAATCCTAAAATAATATTCAAGACTAATACATAACTAACTTGTTTAGCTCTATTTCTTGCAGGATGCATCAGGGGCCTGTTTCTTGCTTAGCTTTTACTGATGACCAATTGCTTGTTAGTGGTTCTTCCCTCGGCTCCCTTTCACTCTCAGATCTTTCTTCTGATCAGCGAGTTGTTCAGCTGGGATCAATCTACTCTGCAGGTTTGTTAAATATATTTTGTCAGATCCACAATACACTCATAACTCATAGAACAATGCCTCTACATCCCTTGTCATTGATTTCTCTTTCCTGAATACCCATGAACGCATAATTGGCTTCCTCAAGTCATCTCTTCTTGGATAGATCCCCATAATTTGAATAACAAGCTTCTGGCCCCAAGGTTGTGGCCTAGTGGTTAGTGAAGTGGGTTAAGAACCATGTGGTCACACGGCACATCCCAGCAAAGACAAAATCATTTGATAATTTCTTTCCATTTGTCTAAGCCTTAGTGTATAGTACCTGTGCTGGTGAGTGGTGAGACATAATAGGTACCCTGTGAAACTAATCGAGGTACACGGAAGCTAGCCCATACACCATGGATAATAATAATAATTAGTGTTTTGGGAAGCGAGAAGCGGAAAAAAGCGACGAGGGCTCGCTTCACAGAAACGCAAAGCGAAGCGCGCACTTTTTTTTTAAAAGCGACCTTTAGTAGAAAAATATTAAATAACTAAATAGAGGTAATATAGTCTTAGATTAAAAGAAAATAGATAGACAATAATACTCATAAGTCATAACATATAAAGCAAAAAATCAAAAACATAATTAAATCACAAAGACTCGAACTCCTATTCTTCAACAAGATCCTCAAACTCTTCAAGTGTCATAACCAAGGCTATTAGCCTTCATATTTATTTTTTTTGTCAAATATGTAAGCTAAAATATATAGTATAAAGCCAAACAAACAATCAAATAAAAAAATTCAGAGAGCAAATGATTTGGAAAAATATCCAACTTTTACACTTTGAAATAGCCGAGGCGAAAAAAAGAAAAAAACAAAGAGCACAAGATCGAGAAACTACAGTGATAGGAATAACTGAGAAGCAGATCAAAGAGAAAAGAAACTCACCGATCAGATGAAGCACAGTAAGCTGGTGAAGAGAGACGCAGTCGCGGTCGTGAAGAAAAGAAGCAGCGGAAGAAGAGTAAAGTCGTGAAAGAAAGCTAAGTCGTATCTATTCAGAAATATTAAAAAAATAAAATAAAAAAACCCTAATTGTCGCTTTTTTTTATATATATAAGAAGTGCACTTTATTGTGCTTTTGCCTTGTGTTGCTTCTCGCTTCTTCATCTGAAGCGAGCGCCTTTTTCAGATCGCATCGCCTCAGGCGAAAGAAGTGCAGTGGTAGCGCCTCGCTCGAAGCGCGCTTTTCATAACAATGTCTAGGCCATACCCTTTGGTGTTATTTAAATTATGGGAATCTGTCCAAGGTAAAATGCCATAGCTTGTTCTTGTTGTTGTTATTATCAGTGTTGTGAAAAGCGTGCTTCAAGGCAAGGCGCTACGACTGCGCTTCTTTCTCCTGAGGCGATTCAATATGAAAAAGGCGCTCGCTTCAGATGAAGAAGCGAGAAACAACACAAAGGCAAAAGCGCAATAAACCGCATTTTTTTTATAAAAAAGCGACAATTAGGGTTTTTTTTAAAAAAAATAGCTTTTTAAAAAAAAATCTGAAAGAGATACAACTTAGCTTTCTTTCACGACTTATACTCTTATTTCGTTGCTTCTCTTCTTCACGACCGCGACTGCGTCTCTCTTCACCAGCACTGTAGTTTCTCGATCTTGTGCTCTTTGTTTTTTTTCTTTTTTTCGCCTCGGCTATTTCAAATTGTAAAAGTTGGATATTTTTCCAAATCATTTGCTCTCTGATTTTCTTTATTTGATTGTTTGCTGGCTGTATACTATATATTTTAGCTTACATATTTGACAAAAAAAAATATGAAGGCTAATAGCTTGGTTATGGCACTTGAAGAGTTTGAGGATCTTGTTGAAGAAAAGGAGTTTGAGTCTTTGTGATTTAATTATGTTTTTGATTTTTTGTTTTATATGTTATGACTTATGAATATTATTGACTATCTATTTTCTTTTAATCTAAGACTATATTACCTCTATTTAGTTATTTTTTTTAAACTAAATGTTGCTTTAAAAAAAAGGCGCACGCTTCTCGCTTCTATGAAGCGAGCCCTCGTCGCTTCTCGCTTCCCAAAACACTGGGCCTAGTGGTCCATTAGGTGGGTTGAGGACCATGATATTTAACAGAGTCAAAAACAGTTGGTGATTTCTTCCCATTTGTCCTAACTTTTGTGAACAGAGTTGCATGGTATTTGTTGTTTGAGGGAGGTGGCAGATATGCCGTATAATTAGTTGAGATGTGTAGCCGTAGATTTTCATGCTGAGCCTGCTATATAGATTTCTTCCCCTAAGAAGTGTTGTCTTTACTTCTAGTTCAAAGGGTACCCTCTGCATTTATCTAATCTCCTTTTTTAGCTGCTGGAAGAGAGAAGAGAAATGCAACATAAACTAGGAGGCTGTCTAGGGAACATATGGTTACTTTATGCTGCATTTGGCACTTATAGTTTTTTCTAAATGATTTTTTTTTGGGAAAAATCTGACAAGTATTATGTTAATGACACAGCATGAGAACCCTAGAATCTATAGTTTATACTTTTGTAGAAAGTTTTTTTTTTTAGTTGTAGAAAGTATTTTCTGGTTTATGTTATTCAAACTGATGTCTAATTAGTAACTAGTGAGGGCTTCCTAATGTCAATCTGTGCTAGGAAGTGGACAAATGCTTTACACAGTTTACTAAGTAGATTATCTTGGATGTATTTCTTTTAGAATCTTGATTCTCTTTGTAATAGGAATTCTGATTTATTTTTCTTTCTATGCTTCTGAAATCTCCTGCCACAGGGATCAAGACTTTAAGCTCCACCTCTAGCTCAATTAAATTATTTTTCATCTTTCTTTTAGAATGTTGATTTTCTCTTTGTTATCTGATTTCTTGTTTGTTTTTCTTTATCCGTTTTTGAATCTCTTCTGACAGGGGTCAAGACTTTGTGTTTCAACCCTAATTCCTATATGGTGTTTGCTGGATCAACTGCTGGAAATGTGTCTTGTTGGGACCTCAGGTTTGCAGAACTAACTAAAACGTGAACCGACTTACATGTGTTTTTCTATGGAACCCGGCCTTTCTGATCTTGTTCCATGCTTCTGTGCAATAACTGGTGTTTTTAATCCTTAGTCAGTAGCTTTATCAATCCCTTTATATGTTGTTGCAGTTAATTGTAAATTAGGGATGTCTCATATTCGTAAATCTTTCTAATCTGCTTATGAGTATGACAAGTTGCTCTATCTTTTTTTTATGTCTGGTGTCGGGTCAGCTTTCGCGTACCTCGACTAATTTCACATCCCACCAGCAAAAAGTTGCTCAATCTCTTCGTATAAGATTCCCCCAGAGTTCATCCTCACTATTTAAAATTTTAAATATAGTTTCTATGAGATTTGACTTACTGTAAATGCCACTTTAGCAACAAGTACAAGAACTTCAGAGATTTCAAATATAGGATATTGGGGGCAATTGCTAATTAGTTAAAGAAGCAAAGGGGGAAAAAAAGAAAGGGAAAAAAGAAAAAAGGAGCTTTACTATTTCTCTCTGGCTGATTGTGGTCTAAAAATGGAATGGAATAAAATGAATACTGGACTTGGATTTACATGTGGTTCTTGAGATCAAATTTAAAGTTGATAATGATCTCTTGAAATATTACTATTGATAATGGAGGGCCAAGTTGTTGAAACTTGAAAGGTTCCATCAATCATAAATTCATACTGTTAGCATTCCAAAAAGACTGCAGTTAACTCGAGCAATCAGCATAGTGAAAGATAAAACAAATTGGCTTGAAGCCAAGGTTGCATGCTGCTTTGATTTTTTGTTCTGAAGTATGTAGGGTAAGTAGGGCCTAGTGTATGTTTCTTTGAAATATAAAGTACTTTTAGGAATGGATGGACGACTGGGATACAGAATTGTTTCAAGGGTATCGAGATTGACTAAAATATTGCCTCCCCTGAAAGTACAGAGGGGGGAAATTTTAATTAGTCTCTAACGTCAAGGCTGAAGGAGAGATAATTTTGGACCTTGTGAAGGTGACTAAAAAAATGTGAACCGTGTCAAATAATCTGATATTGCAGCGATGAACCAAAAATCCTTCATTCTGATGGCTGTTTCTTAGGTGAAGAATTTAGATGCATAAACTTCAAAAAGAAAAGCCTGTGAGGGATTAATGTGAGATTTCTTTTGTCTTTCTCATCTCCAAATGTGAATGTGGACTCTTTTCATCATATGTTTAGATGATATATAGGATTTGCTTAGCTACAGCTTGCTGCTATTTGCTCTGAGTCGTGAAATTGTTTTCCTATGTAGTTTAATATTTTTCTAGTTTCTGATTATTTCAATCCTGAAAATGCACAGGAATACGACAAGAACTGTATGGGAAACAAGAGTTTCTCCAAATGTTATTTATTCTATGCATCACCTTATGAACGACACTTCGACATTGGTAGTTGGTGGAATCGATGGTGTGTTAAGAACTGTGGACCAGGTAACTGGTGAAGTAATTTCAAGATGCATAATGGATGATAGTACCACTGTGTTACATCGTTCAACAGAGAGATTTGGAAGTGTGCAAATTGATAGCCGGAAAGTGAAAAGGCTGTCTGAAGATGATCGAATTGATCTTATGACAAGAACTTCCAAGCCACAAATCACATGTTTAGCAGCTGGGATGGAGAAAGTTGTTACTACGCATAATGATAAGTATATCAGAGTTTGGAAATTCAGCAAGTGAAAAACGATTCTCATACACTGCCTGATACTTGCTCGTATATGTATTTCCCTATGTAAACGTATTTCTAATCTGGTAGCAAAATACATGTATAATGCAGATTTACTTGATTTAAAATTTGATGTGAAATTATTAATTAGTGAGACTGTAATTCTTTCAGAAAATTATTTAGTTAGGTTTTTCCTAAAACTTAGCTACTATGTCAAATAAAACTAAAATAATTATGATGTGAATATAAAATTAAAATATTCTTACCTATATGAGGAATAACAACATTGTTTGGTGTCCATATCATCACTTTGACATATAAAATTCCAGCACAAATATTGAATTTTTATCAGTTCAAATTGAATGAACAATTTCGAGTGAAAATTTGCAAGAGTTTCACACTCTATAAACAATTCATGGGTTTGAATTGATAAATGTTTTCCGTGTTATACTAAAATTTTATTTTCATATTGAAAGTAGCTTAATGTTGAAAATTATAGCGTTGAAACGCCGTTAAAACTTAACTTGTGATTCAAAAAATGGCTATTGTCAACTTCTTCCCCATTTGGCTGATTAGGGCCATTCTATGAAGCCCAAATAAAAAGCCCAAATTGCTAATTGCCTATCAATTCCTGACGAACACGATACAGTTCCCCTCTTGTAAAAATCTGTGCAAACCCTAATTATCGTGTGAGATTGAGATTGAAAAATGGTGTGCATACGAAAGGCGACGATAGATGATTTGCTTGCTATGCAAGCATGCAATTTGTTATGCCTTCCTGAGAATTACCAGATGAAGTACTACTTCTACCACATACTTTCGTGGCCTCAGCTTCTGTACGTTGCTGAAGATTACAATGGTAAAATTGTGGGATATGTGTTAGCAAAAATGGAAGAGGAAACCACTGAGTGCCATGGGCACATCACTTCCCTTGCCGTAGTCAGGACTCACCGGAAACTTGGTTTGGCTACTAAGCTCATGACCGCTGCTCAGAATGCTATGGAACAGGTATGTATTATTTTTTAAAAATTTGGTGAAGTTTTATAGCTTAAAGAAATATTATTTCAACAAGTGATTAAATCTGGAAATTAGATTCATAAGTTGATTTGATTCTGGTATTAGATTGGTAGGAAAGCGTTAGGATAAGCAATTAAGTTTTGGTAATTAGACAGTTCTGTAAAAATGGATATATGTGCCCGTTGTTAACTTGTTAGTCAGAATTGGCTGATTATATTTGATGGTGAATGAGGTCATTTGGTGGCTGATATATGCGCACCATCACTGTCATCGTTGAGTTGTAGATATTCCAACTCATTGCCTTATGTGCTGTTCAAATTCTGGATTGGAATAATAGTTTTCAGCTCAAGCAGTGACTTGACTAGTTTACTCTAAGAGTTTGGCTTGAATAGAAATTATGATGAGAAAATTTCATCTAGGCAGAAGAGCAAAATTTCCTTGAAAAGATGATATGGATCATGAATGGATGCAAGTGAAAGAAGTAATCAAAAATAATACCCCGGAACATCTGTAGTTGTGTATCAATCAAGCCTGACAATTTTCTCATTGGCATGGTAACTAACCCTAGTGTGGTTCTAGTTAGACGTCACCAACCTCAGTATGAAAGCTAATAAAACTAAAGAGTTGAAAAAGATTGTAAAGCATATATATACATAATTTATACAAGGACTCAAAAACCAACTATCGGCTTTACTCTACTATGCCTTGAGCGGGAATTCTCTTCTTTTTATGCTAAACACCCGAACTCTTTCCACTATCGTCATCAACCTTCTTTTTTTTTTGATTTGATACCAGAACACACTTTGTTTCCATTTGGCCCCAACAATTATCAACTTCTCACTACTCATGCTAGCCTTAACAACTTGAGTTGTCTATGAGAGGATCCTTTGAGTGCTTTTCTGTTGGGGATATTTAGCAGGAGAAACAGGGTCTCAAAATCCTCGTCACTATCAGCTATCTTGTCACATTGATAGATGAAGTCATTTTTGCACATACTTGTTGAAAGACAAACTAAAATAAAGACAAAACGGCGCAAAATAACTGAAAACAAGTGTTCCCAAAATCAAAACCAACATTATACCCAAAAAAAAATCAGATGCTTTAATTTAGCAAGGAATATAGAAGAATCTAAAAATCAAAAGTTAACCAAAGTAATGTACCCAAATGAAAATAGCACAAGTCTCGAAACATAATCGCCAATGTAACACTGATAGAAAGAAACGAGAAGCTTACTTTGAATGTAAAATGGAAGCACTAAAATCAAACAATAACAGAAGAAGAAACTGGAAGAATGAGAGAGAAGAAGCAATCGTTAAAGGGTTATCAAACTAAAAGTATAAACTTTGTGAAAATATACTGTTTTTTAGAATAAAATTGTGAAGATTCTACGATGAAGCAACCTTAGCTGTTGAGCAGGAGAGCTCCCTCTTCTAAGGAAAACAAAAAGCTGAGGGAGATTGAGAGACCAAAGGGATAGTGGAAGAGAGCTAAGTAATACCTGTAGCTGTAGCCCAAGGAACTGATTGGGCAGTTACGCCAATCATCATGATAGCGTAAGCGATTGGATAAGAAAACCAAAAGTAAGAGAACTTGTTCTGATTATCTAATACTCAAACCGTAATTGAGGTCAAGCTTGTCTCATTAATGTTTGGCCTCTTGGCAGGAGGTTCACTGTCCCCCTCCTTTCCGGTCCGGCCGCAGTACGGCACCTGAACTTGAAGCTACGATCAGATCCGATTGGATCTGGTCCTATCCGACCCAACCCCGGAACCAAGCTTTGGTTGGTCAATGTTTGAGCCCCATGCACTTACCCCAACCTCGGATAATGAGGATTGTGATGTGGTGACGTGAAACAAGGGTTTGAGTGCACACTTTTCATTGGTTTGAGATTATTAGTCATGATTATTACAATCACAAATTATGAATTAGGTCATTCGTGTTGAAGTTTGGTGTATCACTTACTTTTTTATGCCACTAGAAAAAAAAATATGTCCTATGATCTTTGATTAATTGTAGACTAATAAGAACACATTGGAGGTGAGAAGCCCGTACAAAATGCGGAAGTTTCAATTTAGTATAATATGTTAAAAGGAAGAACATAGTAACTAGGCACATTCACTGAAATGTGGATTTATTTAAGAAAATTTGTGTTCCCTTCATATTGAGTCACTGAGCTTGTAGGTGTTTAATGCTGAATATGTACCGTCAGTGGGAACAGTAATTCTATAAAATCAGTATTTTGGATCCTTCAATTTACTGTACCCCTTTTGGTAACTGTTATGGCATTATGTCATCAATTAGCTTCTCTTTACCAAGGAGCTCCGTCGACCCACCCTCTTGTGCAAACAAAAAGAATATAGAATTTTTGAAAATGTAATAGTGGAACGTCATGCTTTGGTTTTAAACTGATGTAGTTTTTTTGGGCAGCACAAGTTTCCGGTAGTATGTGACTATAGTACCAACCTAATTAGGTACATATTACTGGATTTTGACAGTGAGTTACGGTTATTGACTATGTTGCTTGGACTGTTCAAAAATGTTGTTGCATCCATGTCGGATTCTTCAAAAATACACTATTTTTGGAGTATTCGACACGCACCTGTCAATATTTTGGATAAGTTTTTGTTTATTTTACTCTGCTCCTTTGTTCATTCTTTCACTGTATTTCTTGTTGATTCAATAATGTGCTTAAAGTTAAAACAAAACAGTACAATCTAATTTAGCATGCATATTGTTTGTCCTGACGCAAAAATGTTCCTCAGTTGGAATGATTCTAACAATAAGATCCAATTTTGTTTTTGGTAAAAGGTGTTTGGAGCAGAGTATGTGTCTCTGCATGTTAGGAAGAGCAACAGGGCCGCATTTAAGCTGTATACAGAGACATTAGGATATAAGATTCATGATATGGAAGCCAAGTACTATGCAGATGGGGAAGATGCTTATGATATGAGGAAGGAATTGAAGGGCAAGAAGCACCACCAGCATCACCATCACCACCACCACCACGGTGGTGGGTGTTGCTCTGGTGAGGTGAAGGTAGGACCAAAGGAAGGAGCAGCAGAAACAAAAGCAGCATAATTATGGACCTAAAGTTTGGGACTTGGAAATTTCGTGGAGTTCACAAGAAATATATGTTACTAATGTATGTGTTCTACATGAAACAACTACACCTTGTAAGGTTGGAACATTGGTACAAGTAATGCTTTTGGTTTTTCTGATATTGTATTCACATTTCATATCTATTTTCTGAAGAAACTATTGAAAAATGAATTTCCAAAAGTTATCCATCTTGATTAAATACGTTGCAACAATTTAACCTTACTGTTTTTTTTTTTTTAATCTTAAATAAGCTTCATAGTTATTGATACTAGATCATATAATAACTTATTTGTCGCATTCATGTATTACTATTCTGTGTGTTTCCATGCACTATGGAAGCTTCTCTTAAAGTAGGCATTTCATCTAATTATGGAATTTCTTTTGGACATGAAAGTCTATTCTATGCCAAGGAATATTAAATCAACCATTTTTTCTATGATGTTGAAAATTCAATGTTGGTTAGAAATTGTTCTGGAGAATCTGATTTTGGGAATGAATTAAAGTACCTTTTATTTAATTTAACTAATCTCATAAAGACTTCTCTTCTCTTGATTGGGGAATATCACCTGTCTAGGATCTCTTCATTTGATGGTCTCACTGCTTCCCATTAGCGGCATTCATGGTTCGGTTTGGATCAGTTATTTGTTAAAGCTAAATCAAACTAAAATTAACTGGTTTTTAAATTTTTAAAATCAAATCAAAAAAAATAACCGTCGATTTGGTTATTGTTAGTTTGGTTCGATTTTGTTCAATTTTTCTTTTTGTTATTTTGGTTTGAAAGTATATAGTTTGTTGAGGCATATAACTCTCGATAACACAAATTTATAGTACATGAAAAATTCATAGAAAAACTATTGTGAACTACACTAAGCAATTTTAGTCATAGAACAATTGGAAGAGGACTTAAAAAAAATTTATTCGTTGTTAAAAGACTTATTTCTAAAAAGGGAATGCAATTTATACATGTAGTGGTAAATTAATACTACCAGAGTTGTTTTGAACTAAAAAATTTCATCTGAAGTCATGCTTTCTAAATTAAAATGCTAAAATCAAGAAAAAGTATAATATAAAAAGATGGAGAAGAAAAGACCAATATGACTAAAGAAGTTGAAGAGAAGCGCAGAAGGTTGCTTTGAAATTTTTTTAAAAGAAAAAAGAAAGAAAGTTGCTTTGCAAATTTTTTAACAAGAGAAGAAAGTTGCTTATATTTTTCTTTAAAAGAACAGCACTGTAAATTTCTTAGGTAGAGTATGTAAAAATCACTTAAATAATAAATTTTTGGTGGAGTTAGAATTAGGATTTAATAGTTAGACTGAAATTTAAGTGTTGAATTAAGATAATGATAAAATCAAACACTTAAGTTAATTAAAATTTAATAAATATGAATATTTTATTTATGAATAATATATAAATAACTATAAAGTTTACCTCTATAATTTAACGGTTTGATTTGGTTATTTTTGCGGATATTTTTTAATAAAACCAAAACCAAATCAAATAATATCAGTTTTTAAAATTCAAAAATCAAACCTAACCAAATATCAATTTTCTTAATCGATTTGGTTATTTAACCATAGCCATGAACAACCCCACTTTCTATAGCCACTTCTATTTTTTGCTATACGATTTACGAGTCTAGGGACAAGTCAAGTAGACAATTTTTACGGAGCGTAGACCTCTCTTTTCTTCTTTCAAAATTAAAATTAAAAATGAATTTTGAGATCATGTATATTAATACTGTATTCGTTTTCGTGTACCATTGATAATAATATAAATGTAAAATATCGCTCCATTTTTGTTTCATTAAATTCTATGGTTTAACAAAATCAAATAATTGACTATACTTTTCGAAATCAATAGTTTAGTACACGTCTATCGTTTGTCAAAATCAGGGTACTATAAATGCTATTTACTTTATGCTATTCTTTTTGCCAGCAAAATTGACCAAGGTGATAACGTATATTTATTTCAACTTTGATAATTATATTAAATATAATTATTTATTTTATTAAATTAAAAAAATATATTAATTTAATTTATTTTATATTATTGTCATTAATTCTTTTGGGAGTATTCATATTATTTATAAAATTTGTGAAAGTTTTTCTAAGAGATAAATTAGTAAATTATTTTTTAATTTATAATTTTTTAAATATCATATAAAATAAAAAATGATTAACTAATATAATACGGGAGAGTACAATCTTATTTGAATGTCTTTTTGCTTTTGATTTTTCCAACAAAATTCATATTCCAATGCAATAATTAGGCCACTAAAAGTCATTATTTTCTTCTTTTTTCCTATTACTTTCTCATGTTTCGTTTTTAGGAAGAGTATTTCTTGTATTAGTATATATTTCATCGTCCACAACTGTTTGACAGATATATTAAAAATAGAGTTTAAGATTAATTATCAATTTTAATAATTAAAAAATAATTAATTTTTTTTTTTCAAATTTGCCCTTAATGATAATATAGTTCAATTAAAAAGTTAGGTAAACTTTTGATATTCTTAATAGGGTTATATTAGTCAAACTACAGATTGTATTAAATTTTCCTTGAGGGGTGTGCATAACTTTAACATGACAAACAATTATGAACGGAGGGAGTATATATTAAGCAGAAAATGGCAAGTATTTATGATTAAAAAATAATTGATATTAATCATCTGAGAGATTAACTTGAAAAAAAAATGAAAGACTCAAGCCCAAGAACGAAGGAGCAGTTGATTTTTTTCAATTATTAATCAAACATGACAAATAAAATAAGGGAAAAGGGTCT